ACCTCTCTGCCATACGCATTTTTGCATTGCATAGATACAAAAAACGGGCATCAAAAAAAAAAAAAACCAAGCATCGAGATCTTTAGGCATCTGGATTTTGCGCACTGTTACTGAAACTTGATTTACCACAGATTCCACTTTTTGTAAATATTTCTGTTTGTTTTTTTTTTCTTTTTTTTTTAGGAAATGCTGGCATACGATCCAGCGGAGCGTATTTCAGCGAAAAGACTTCTCAAGCGTTCGTACTTCGATGATGTTGATCGTAGCACTCTTCCGGCCGGCAATTATGATGGTAGTACGATGTATGTTTGTCCTTAAAAACAGCTTTGCGCCGCTCGAAAAAATCATTTTTTCCTGTTTAGGTGGTTTTGATTTTGTTGAGAAACAGTACAGATTTTTCGAAAATGTCTTTTTACAAGCGATTTTTTGGAGTTCATCTCTTCTCTCTGTGTCACGCATCATTATGCGAAATCTTTGTTCCTTTGTCCTCTAATGTCAAATATGCTCACTTTTTCGTATTACTCGCCAATGCTTATTTTATGCACAACTAATTTTTGCCGTTTCGCCACGTATGGTTGAACAATCCCATCACTTTTTTTAACTTTTTTTTAAGATTGCTGTCAGTGGTTTATCGTAATCTTTGAATGTGCTTGCAATGATTTTTTTTTCACTGCCGCTGTAATTCATGTGCTATTACCGAGCAATAGTTATTCTGTTAAAAAATATTCGCTTCTCGGTACACTTCGGCCTTTGTTTGGCCAGGGAAAGCGCTAAATACAGCCCCAGTCTTTCCGGGATATATGGATATGTGATCTCTAAGCTCAGCTGAGCCCTCGTTGCTAGCTCTCTGTCCAACCGCGCACGTTTAACGGTGATCCTAAAGCCTTTTTTGGTAAAATTTGCCCCCCTTAGAAGAGGGGTTTTCGAAAATGCCAGGCTCTAAAAGCTGGGCTGCTTGGAGTAGCTACATCTTGTCCCCCCATTATTAGTTATATGATGTAAATGTAAGCATCTTTCGAGCGACAAATCAACTATTTGTAAAAAAAAATCATCAGTCTTTGAAGCGACCAAAGTGTCTTGCAATGGTGTATTTGATTTCTGAAGAGTTTTTCTGCTGTTTTTGGGCTTCGTTTTAAAATGAAATTTCATGCGTTGGCGCTAAATTTGCCTTTTTTGGATGCATATTGTTCAGTGCAGTTGA